GGAGGAGGAGGAGGAGGAGGAGGAGGAGGAGGAATAGCAGGCTGTGCTGTAGGATCAGGTGCTTTCAGACAGTTTTAGCTTTTGGGTTGGTGGAGATGAGGGTTCTGCTTGCAGACTCCCAAAGGACTGTGCTTCCTCCTAGCCTATGTCACATATGCAAGAGACAGTGACGCCACTACAGCACATAAAAAGGCAAAGCTGGGCAAAGCTGTCACCTACATATGACAAGACTGAGACCAGATTATTCAACATCTTTGGGCCTCACACCAGGAGGCTTCCTTTGTCTTCCTTGTAAACAATGAGATACCGTTATGAAGGGGCCAGAGTGTTCATTTCAGAAAGAGGCCAAGATAACTCAGTGCATGCTTTGGAAATGTTGGAGGGCCCAGGGGAAGCTAACAGGACTCACACTAAGTCCCTGCTCTGTGCGTGGTCCCCACTCATCCCATCGCTGTGCTGGCTTGAATAGGAGGCGCCCTTTCTCGGGCTCAGGGTCTGGACACGTCGGGAGGGTCAGGGGGTGCAGCCTGCTGGAGGAAGCGTGTCGCTGGAGATTTGAGAGTTCACAGGCTCGCTCTGCCTCCTCACTCTTTATGCTTTGTGCTTTCATTGAAGTTATGAGCTCTCAGGCTCCTGCTCCTGTTCCTGTCCCTCGTTGTCATCCCTCTGAACTGCAAGTTGAAATCACTTTCTCTCGCCAGTTGCTTTTGCTTGTAGTGCTTCCTCACAGCAACAGAAGCAGAACAAATACAATCGCCATCCTGTTTTATGTTAGTGTGTGTGTGTGTGTGTGTGTGTGTGTGTGTGCGGCATGTGCGAGCGCGAGTGTGTACTTCTGTATCTGAGGACAGTGTCCCTGGAGGTCAGAAGAGGAGTCAGGTCTCCTGGCACCGGAGTTAGGTGGCCCTGAGCCGTCAGACGTGGCTGCTGGGCCTGCACTCAGTCCTAGGCAGAGCAGCAGCTCTCTTAGCCGTCTCCCGCCCGTTGTCACTGCTATTTTCAGACGTTTCGATGTTCTATGTGCTAATGCTTTGTGTGCATTTACTCATCTGGTCCTTGTAGCAATCTGTGTGGAGGTTCTCCAAGGCTGCCCTTTCAGAGATTCCCACGGAGGATTTATGGGACTTGGCAGGTAATTGTAAGACTTAATTTAAATGGGGAGCGAGGACACACGCCCAGAGTGTAAGGGGAGCCCGCAGGACTCCGCCAATAGCTGTCTGACGCTTTCTCCCACTGTGACAGAGTGCTCAGGACTGGAGCGCGTCTGTTATGCTTGCGCCCAGGAAAGGCCCTGCAGGGACAGTGCCCAAGGTCTCCACCTCTACACCCTCAGCCGGGCCAGCACCAGCGCCAGCTCTCAGGAGAGCAGGATTACATATTGTGTAACACTCGTAGGCATACAGTAACGCCTTTGTTGACTGACTGTTTACTGGGGACACAGAGCAAAGCTCCAGAAGAAGGCAACAGCCTGCTTTGGCCACCTTTGTAGGTCTCAGCGCTGTCATATGCTTGCACGCTGGGACTGTCCCATGTGCACTCAGCAGTCTGTGGGCTGCAGAGCTCAGGCTCTCACCCGCCCACGTGCTCAGACCCGCTCGCCCGCAGCCCTTTGCACTTGTTCTTTCTGTCTGGAATGTTATTCTTCCGGCTCCTTGCACGACCAGTACCTTCTTACAGTTCAAGCCCCAGTTGGAATTACAACCTGCCTGACCAAAAGCTCCTGCTGTCTACACAGTGATGCTGGAAGCTCGCGAAGCTATTGCTCTGTCTCTCTAGTGTGAAGTCAGCCCGAATCTTAGTTTCTGTCCACTCCACCCCCATCCTGATCACTGGCATTGAGAGGCAAAAGTCCTGTGATGTTTTGTTGATTTGTGATGAAACTTGGCTGTTCTCAGCGAACACGATTTGCAAGAAAAGTGTGTCATCAGCTGAGTGACTCTACTGAGTCACTAGGAGCTGCTGCCAAAGTAAGCTTAGTGTGCGTGTGGTTTTCCTTTCTCTCATACAATACATCTTGACCTGTCTAA